TTATGGATGTTTGTGTATAAATCCTTATGTGGTCATATGCTTCCACGACCTTTTGGTAGACATCAGGAATGGAATGGCTATGTTATGTAGTAGAGGGATGTTTATGAAACCTCAAAATTGTTTTCCAACATGGCAGCACTGTTTTCCTTCCCTCTGGCAATGTACAAGACTTCAGCTGCTTCGTGTCTTCACCAAAACTTGGTGTGGTTGGTCTTTTTAATTGTTGTCAGTCTAATTGGTACATAGTGGTGTTTCACTGTGGGTGAGACATTCGCATTTCCCTGTTGACTAATGAGGTTGAGTATATTTTTACATGCTTACGAGACATTTTATATTTTCTTTTGTGAATGTCTCTTTAAAACTTACTCATTTTATTTCTGTTTATTTTTATCATTATTTAAGACACAAATGTCATAAGAAAACCTGTATTTCAGAAATCACATTTGTAGGAAATACTGAATATATCACACCAGAGTGAAACTGCAGAAGGCGACCAGATGGGGGATACTAGAATCCTTCAAGAGATAAGATAGAAGTCATGAGTGGGTCAAGAGACATCTCTGAGATAGAACCTATAGGGCTGGTGACCATCTAAGAATGTCCATTAATCAAGAAGGAAATTTTATTCCATTGGAAATAAAGATCTAGAGTTTAAGAAAATAAAAATAACTCCCAACATCGGGAGGCTGAGGCAGGAGGATTACTGAGGCCACACTATGCAACAAGCCCAGCCTGAACTACCTAATGAAACCCTGCTTCAAAAAGACAAATAACATTAATAATAAGAATAATAATACCATATGCCTATATACCTGTTATTAATGCTTGTCCCTTCCAAAACACATGTTGAACTATAATTGCCACTGTTATGATATCAGGGCAAGGGCTGCATCTGTAATAACAATTTAGGATAGAGTTCTTATGGATACATTAATGCCGTTATCTAGGGACATCTCTGTCCCCCCCCCCCCTCCTGCTCACCCGCCCCCACCTGTCTCAGTATAGGATTCGTTGTTACCAAGGCTCACAAAGTTCAGGAATAAATATCTGGACCTTTTCTTGCAACACTATAGTTGGGTACTAAGTGGAGACTTTCTTTAAAGCTGAAGATACACCTTCAGCTGAGGGACATTTATTGATTTATGACATTTATTGATTGATTTGTATTTTGGCTTTTTTGCTTTTTTGATACTGACTGGGAATTGAACTTGGGACCTCATGCTTGCCAGGCAGTATTCTATTGTTTATTTCGTATCTTTAGTCTAGTTTTCCTTCTTGTAGGAAATTCTATTAAGTAGATATCAGTTTCCTTGGGTTTCCTATCCATGCCTCAATATTTTCTTGGTTCACATCCCTTATCCTTTTAAAATTATGTTCTGGGAGGTTCTATCAGCTTGGTTATTTAACTTAATATTTGAATACCCATTATCTTAGTTCTTTTAGGTACATTTCAAAATATTTTCTCTTTAAAAGTATTTTCTACTTCATGTCGGTTCACAGCAGTGCTCTCTCTGAGAGCACTAACATACTTTATATGAGTATTAATGACACAAAATACAGCAATAGAATTAGGAAGCCAGTGAAGCTGCGCTATGGTTTCAATTTATGCCAAAGGTTCCTCCCACTAAGAGTGGAAGGAACTTTTAAAAGGTCAGAGAGATTTTGAGAACTGTGGGACACTCTAGTGTCTTACTGCCTTTTGACTGGTCTGATCTGAATACATTTCTCCAAAAGTGTGAGCCAACATAAACCTTTCTTTTAAATCTTTGATGTAATTCCATTTGTTGATCCTTGCTATTGTTGTACCACTGGAGTTCTAGCCTACGACTGTGAGTTCAACAGTTTTACCTATTGTATCTTATAGCAACTTAACTTTAAAAATGTTTAGATCTCTGATCTATTTTTATTTTATAGCAGTAAAAGGTGAGAGCTACTGGTCCAGTTTCAATGTGCTGCATTTGGATACTCAGTTTCCCCAGCACTGTTTGCCAATGTTATTTTTCTACCAGCACTTGTTTTGGGCACCTTTGTTAAGAACAGAGATAGCTGAGTGTGTCATGGGCTGTTGCTGCATCCTCTGTTCTGTGCCACTGACCCACGTAACGATTTCTGGGCCAAAACCAAGCTGTTGTTATCACTGTAGCTTTGTAATGTAACTTGAAGTCAGGGTCTGTGATGCTACTTGCTTTGTTCCAGCTGTCCAGGATAGCTTTTGCTGTTCTCTAATTCCTTATGAACTTTAGTATTGTTTTCTATACTTCTATGAGGAACGCTCTAGGTACTTTCACTGTGACTGAGTTAAATCTATGTGTCAGTTTTGGAAGTATGGCCATTTTGACAAAATTGCTTCTGTCTATCTAGGAACAGGAGGTATCTATTTTCTGACATCCTCTTCATTCTCCTTTTTCAAAGTACTGTACTTTTTAAAATTTTTGTACAGGGTTTTTCACTTTCTTAGGTTAACTCTTAGGTATTTCATTTTTCTTCAAGCTACTGTACATGGTATTGTTTTCATAATTTCCTCCTCATTGAATTCATTATTGGCATACAAAAACAGATCACACTGATCTGTGTGATTTTATACCCTGCTATGCAATTGAATTTGATTATTAATGTTTTAAAAAGCCTTTTTTATGGTACTGGGCATTGAATGCAGGGTCACTTGCCAGGCAGGCACCTGTGCCTCTGAGCTATATACCTGGCCCAGCTTTAAGTCTTTCAGTGGAATTCTTTGGGTCTTCTATGTAGAAGATAATGTTATCTGTGAATAATAATTTGACTTCTTCCTTTCCTGTATGTATTCTTTTTGTCGTTTTTCTTTCCTGATTTCTCGAATTTTTGAGCCCCATTTTGAACAGTGGTGACTGTCGTGTTCTGGATTTTAGAGGAAAAACTTTCAGCTTTTCCCCATTTAATATGATGCAGGCAGTTGGTTTGTCACCAATAGCTTTTATCAGATTCAGGTAAGGTCCTTCCATGCTGATTCAGGATTTTTTTTAATCATAGATGGGTGGATTTTATTAAGAAGTTTCCTACATCTATTGATAGGATCGTACGGTTATGCCCTTGCTTCTGTTTATGTATTACATTTGTTGACTTGCATATGTTGAACCATCCTTGCAAATCTGAAATAAAATGTTTGGTCATGATGCATGATCCTTTTGATGATATGCTGAATTCTATTTGTCTAGCTTACTGAGGATTTCTGTACCTATGTTCATTAAACATGCAGGCCTATAGTTTTTTCAGTTACACCTCTGTCGAGATCAAAATGATGCTGGATTCAAGTAATGAGTTTGGAAACACCATTTTCCCTTCAATGTCACTGAAGAGTTTTAAATATTGGAGCAGTTTTTATAGTACTCTTCTGAATTTTGATGGTGTGCCTTCTGATTTCAACTTTTTCACTTCTAATTGTATTGATGTCTTTTCTCTCTTTTGGAAGTTTGGATAAGTGTTTAACTATTATGTTCATTTTTTTCAAGAACCAGCTCTGTGATTCATGGATTTTTTTTTCTCCATTTCAGTAAATTGTGCTTTGATTTTTTACTTCCCTCTTTAAATTGGGTTTAAGTTTGAATTATTATTGTCTTTTGATTATTACTGGTTTATCTTGACATCATTTGGTTATTTGAGCTCAATTTGTTTTCCTAATGTGAGCATTGATTGCAAAAACTTTTTTCTCAGGCCTGCTTTGATTTTGTCCTATAGGTTACGGTGACCTGGCATTCTCATTTGATTCCAGAAATTATAATCTCAGGGTTTTTTAAGCCATTCTTTCCATAGTTATGAATGGCATCAGTCTGAGGAATTACAGCATTCAAACTCCTCCGTCATTATTTTTCTGTAAAGTTTATGAAAGTGTTTATAGATTACCAAATAATTTGGCTTTACCAGTTGTTTCTCGTTTTTTCTTTATGTCTTAATAATCTTCCTGTTGTGGTTTATGTCAGTGATTACTAAACAATGACTTTTTGATCCTATTAATGAACATTAAATTCAACTTTAGTATTATGCTTTGTGCTTGTTTCATATTGTTGTCAATCTTCATAATTGAATCTTTTTCTCAAAACATAATGGCTGGTTTCATTTTTGATGTATCTAAAAGTTGCCTCATAAGACCAGCATTTATATCATTTAAATTTAGAGATACATGTGGTTTTGTTTTTAATGATCTCACTTCATGAGTTCTGTTTTTGGTTCTTCTTTGTATTTATTTTTAGTTCCACAGATGATTGTCTTCACATTTCTAAGAAACAATTATTTAACTATATATAAGTACATGTGTATTGTTTCCACCTTCTGTCCTCAGTTATCTTTTATATTTCTGATAGCAATATATTTTATAAGGCATTATATTGCTTTTCTTTATAGCTATATAGAGCTTTTTTAATAAGCTTTTCTTTAACAACTACAGTAATTATTTTTAATCAAAGTTTCCTGAGTTATTTAAATATATTTGTACTTAGACCTTTTTTTTTTGTTTAAGTGGATTATCATAAACAGTTTATGTACTGCTAATTAGTAAGGATTCTGGTTCAAAGAAAGGGCACAATAAATGCAATTTTGGCACCCAAATCAGATTAAATATTTAAATAAGTACTATTGGTTCCAACAGCAGGCTCAGCCTTTCAATTTCTATTCTGAGTAACTGATAAATTAGAACAAAATCATGACAAAATTACAAGTTCAAAAACTTAAGAGAAACTTTTTCCAAACTTGAGTTTTAAGGTTAATTTCTTATATAGTGGAGGAAAAGAAGTGGAATGTAAAGAAAATAAAATTTAAATGTTTTACTTTTCTGGCCTGCCCTACAGGTTCCTGGGTATTTTAAATCTCAAAAATCGTGTCAAGGTAGGATGCATGACAGCTAAGCAAAAAGACAATAGCCTTGGCAAAAGAAGGCAGACATTAGGAAGGAACTGTGCTGCTTGTGGAAATTCCTTTTTAAGAGAAGTGCTTTCAGCAACAGATAAACAGTAACACAACAGAGACTTAAATCATCGTAACATTTATTTTTTATTTGACAATAAGAAATAAGAAGTCTCAGAATGGTCCAGCTACTTGAAAGGACAACAGACTTAGGATCTTTATCTCTTTCTACTTAATCATCCTAGAAGACTGGCCTTTATCATGCTCTAGTTGAGGATTAGAATTATGGTTGCCCTACAAACAAGCAACACAAACAGGAAGGGTGGGGATGGGGCATGAAGAATTTTCACATCACACATTGTTTGTTTAAATCGGGGACATGTGTCATTCTCATGGCTCCTCTAACAATCAAGGCATTACTTGAAGCAAGCAGCATAACCAGCCCAAATGAACCATGCAGGTGATGGTCGTGACTAACAGAGAAATCCTGGCTCGTCACCAAGGAGGGGATGCAAGCAGACTAAACACACAATTGCACTAATGGAGCTAGATAAATTCAGTTCACATGACAATTCAAACCTGGTTCCACTGCATGTTACCTGGGTATGTGACAGGTCGGGCAAGGCACTGGAGCCCTGTTTCTCGGTTCTCTGAACTGAAACATATGAAAACTGAATCCTCCATATCACAGTTATGAAGACTAAATGAGACAGTGTGTGGAAATCATACGGGCCTCCCACAACCAATAAGCACAATCCAGCCAGGCACTGACTATGTTGGTGTCTGTTATAAGATTGCTGATATAACAGTAACATATTTTCTTCCTTATAAAAGGAAGGACAAGGAAGATAATGGTAGCAGAAAGGGCACTGAACAATTAAGGGTCATTTCTTTCAAACTGTTATCAAGTACACAGCATCACACTCAAGTTAAAAGTAAAATTTTCTTTGCTTTCATACTGTGGATTATCTAATGAGTTCCTAATGTATAGTTTGGTTGTGAGCAATAGACTTTTTTAAAGATAACAAAGCTTAAAACAGGAATTATTTATTAAAATCTTCTGAGTTTACTAAGAGGGGAACTGTTTGTGAGGAATGATTAAACTTACACACTGATTTTTAAACTGTGTGATATACAATGGTCATTATAAAACAAGACCTCACAATGACTGGATGCTTCTATCCCAATTTAAGGGAACCCTACATGGATTCCTTCAGTTTAGGCCCAAAACAGTCCTATGAGGTAATCACTATTCTTATCCATATTTTCCTGGTGAGAAAATGAAGACTGGAGACATTCGCTGTATTTTCCCCACTGCTTTGCAAAGCTGATGTCAGACAGAAGCTCACATGGTACACTGTATGAGTTTTCTGTGTAAGCTAACTGGCTTAGCTACTGGAGCAAGGCCAGTAGAAACGAGTTTGTCTACATGAGCAAAAGACAGTTCATGTTCACGGGCATCGCTGAACAAATTAAGTTTTGCATAACTAGATCAGGAAGAGAATGGCAGGGAGGGGCACCGAAGTGGGCAGAGGAGGCGCCCATCATGAAAGGTTCCAGATCACGTGTCCCCCTGTGTATCCTCTAACTTATGCTGCTCATTGCTAGGAACAAGATGACTGCATTGTATCTTGCCAACAATCTTCATGAAAACATTGTTCAAAAAACATATGTAAAATTTAATTTTAGATATGGAAAGTTCAAATACATCATTTAACACTGAAGTAAAAAAAAGACCTTGTCTTACATGGGAAACAGTGGAACAGAACAGAACATTAACATATTGGAATATTAAAATATAAAAACAACTTTCAAGTACACACATTGTTTGAAGATATTTTATTAAGCTCAAAGATTTTCCCCTGACATTTACTTATAAATTCTTTCTAGTCCAAAAGAAAATAAATAATAAAAATCTATCTGTTTGGGGAGATTTTCACAACACAGTTTTATAAATCTCAGCAGTTAACATGTTCGTTGATTTTAAATGATTACAATTTAGATACATTCAGTCATTACACAATGCCAGGAATGTCAGCCTTCAAGATATCAAGGTAGAAATATTGGTCAGTTAAAAATATAGTAAAAGTTATATTTTAGTTTTACCTTTTTATTTTTAGCCAACTCTAATTTGTCAATTGTGGGAGCACAGAATTTCCTTCTTGGTCTTGGAATGAATGTATATATATTTTTCCCAAATATATACATATATTCAAATAAGTATTCAAGTCCGTGTGTATATATTTGGATGTATGTATATACTTGAAAACTCAAGCATCCCTCTTCTCTCAAATAGTGGCTGACACTCCGGGAGCTGCTAAGTGAGGCACACAGAGTTTTTCTCCTGGGTAAGAGGGAATTGTAGATGCAGAAAGCAGACAGGATTAGGGGCTTTTTGCTATAGTCCGCGACAAGCCCTGGGAGTTGGCCCTGTCTTACTAAATTTTAATGCAATCTCTTTCTAAGTGTCAAGAAAAATACACATGTGACGCTATGTTACCACTCAATTTCTCAAAATTCCTTTCCTTTCATTATTTTAAAAATATTATTCAGTTCTGATTTTAAAAAGAGAAAGAAATCTGAACAACTGCATTTTTATAACATACCCATCCATCACCACCACCAGCTAACAAGACCTGGTTTCTTCCGCTCTACACTATCCCTACCTGCAAGTGAGGCAGTTATCTGCAAATAAAGAACAAAAAAGAGATCAGTGTAAATATTTGATAGTAACGAATGTGAGTTGGCCAAATTATCCAGAGGATTGCCTAGACAGTTGTACATTTCCCATCATTCTTTGTACAAGGGACTCTTACTTAACTCGGAATTCCAGCCAATGTCAAAGCATGAGATATTCTACCCAAACCCAAACTTACGACTTGTGATTCTCTTATGCCAGCCACATAGCTTCAAAGTCTAGCTTCAGTGTGAGAGCTGGTAACCCCCTCCTCACTCTTTTGTTTCCAAACTGAGTGGCTTGCTGTTTAGTTAAGAAACTTAGGACTCGCTTGAATTACACTGTTAGGTAATATTTAGTCTGATTAACTATCTATTTTGCTGTATATCAGGGCCAGTGGCATAGTTTTTGTTTCTTTTCCTATATGTAATCAAGACACAACTGAAGGAATCTACTAGAGAACACTACCAAATATGTAGCACACATACAACATATGGGGATCTGTCTGTCCATGTGAAGGTCAAATATTTACATGGAATGTGGACCTTAATTTATAAAACTACTACTTTAAATAAGGCTATCTTTATATATACTCAGTTTCTTTTATGAATAGCCCCATTTAATAATTAAAAAAATATGCTTTTCAAATATTTCATAAATATATAAAATTTCACTACATTCTATGCTCTTTAAACATGACATCTAAACTCTTTACAATGCAACAAAAATAAATTTTTCTGTGAAAGTCACTCATGCAATGATTTGTGACCAGCAGGACCTAACTGCATGCAAGAATGGCAGGGCATGTTCCCTTACAGGAACTGCAAACATCTGGAGTATTCTGAGCTGCATAGTTCACTTTGCTCAAGACCAGCAGTATCAAGAAAAAAGGAGTAATACTACCTAAATATTTACAATGTAAGTGTCCTCCTGGAACTTCTTTATAATGGCAAGGTTGGGATGTGTCTGACCAGTGTTAAGAGTGACTCTGTTGACAGAGATGTTTATGCTACATAAAAAGCTTTCTAAAACACGTCTCAGCACAATTTAAATGTATAGTGAACAACTGCACTGATTTAAAAAAAGATCATGTTTTCTTTAAGTGCATCACTAATACCACATGAAATGTTTTATCATATTTTATCATAAGAGTTGCATTGTTATAATTATTGGGACAAGCTAAAACTAGCTTACAAACAAAATGCCTTTAGTGAATACAGACGTGTCTTCTGAGGACTTACGTATAAAAATGTCCCTTGTAAACATTTGCTGTCCTAAGATACCACAATTCTTACATCACAAGGAAAAGGTAGTTACATTCATGACAACTTTTGAAAGTCTGTTTTCTAAGATGCTACAAACCTATCATCTCAGCTACTTGGGAGGCTGACACAGGAGGATCTCAGTTTGAGGCCAGCTTGGGTAACACAGTGAAACCTTCATCAGAAAAAAAAATAAGGGTCTGTTTTCCCTTATTAAATATGTGTTCAGTCATGAAGGTGCGCTCATCAGGACTTCTCAAGCTATAAATATTATAATATGAAGGCTATTCACTCACGAAGCTACTCATTTTAAAAATTTTAAATGCACACACTGTGAACACTTGTAGAGATAAGAAAACATTTGCACTTTTTGAATAGGAGAAGGACTCCACCTTAAAGCCAGGCAAGTGAGAGCTGGGATGACCTATCTGGAAACATCTGTCTGGAGCTGCCCAAGGTGCTGAGTTCAGAGCTTCAGCTGAGACCATGCAAGCTGGGTGGGTGCAGAACTGCTGAGGTCAGAAGTGCAGATCTCTGACATCTGCAGCTACATCTTAAACATTCAACCTCACAACACAGAAATATGCTAAACACAACCAGGGAACTCTGTTTAGAATACAGTATATGCAAATTTTGATCTTTAGAACTTATAGTTACTCAGTGTTTCAAATAAAGCTGTAAAAAAAGATGCAAACAGAACTGACATCCAATTCTAACCAAGGATATACATCCACAACAGTGATATAGATGAAAAACAAACCAAAAAACCCTACCACCGAAACAGTAACCGGTTTAATCCTGCACTCTATAGAACAGGCTTCTATGGAAAATCTTCTTAGTTAGGAGTGTAACCAGCTCACTGGTATCCAATGAGTTTCAGTCTCTAATTTGTCAAAAGTTGTTTTTAACTCATTAAATGCCACAGTGAGGTCATCATTTATTATAATTTTGTCAAAAAGATGGCCATATTGACCCTCCATTATCTGTGCAGATTTAATCATTTCTTGAAAATCTTCTTCCTACAAAAAGAAAATAGTATTTAAAAATTGGTTAACCAGGCAATTATATCTGTTCACATCAGTGTAAGCATCCAGCAGGTTCACCTCCTGCTGTTCTTGAGTTCAGCCTTGAATCTCAGCCAGAAATAAGTTACCTTTTTGAGCCACTAGTCCTTCAGGAGCCCTAACTTCTAGATCTATTTCTATTTGCTTGTAACTAAACACTGAGAAGAGTCAAAGCTGCTGCCTGACCTGGACAGACCTGGATCCTCTTTGATCACCTGTGCCAGAGCTGCAGTTTTCGGCATAGAGATCTTTTCCTTCCTTTGTTAGATAGATACCTAGGTATTTCATTTTTCTAATGCCACCGTGAAAGGTGATGCTTGCCTGACTTCTCTCTCAGTGAGTTTGTTTTTTGTGGAAAGGAATACTTTGGTTTTTGAGTGATGACTTTGTATCCAGGTATGTTACTGAATTTGGTTATTAAATCTAAATGTCTTGTGGTGCAGTTTTTGAGATTTTCTATATACAGTATCATGTCATCTGCAAATAATGATAATTTAACTTCTTTCTTTGCTATCTTTACTCCTTTTATTTCTCTCTCTTGTCTAATTGCTCTGGATAGTGTTTCCAGACCTATACTGAACAGGAGTGGGATAGCTGACATCCTTGATTTGTTCCTGATTTTAGAGTGAAAGGCTTTAGTTTTTGGACATTTAGTGTGACGTTGGCTGTTAGTTTGTCATTGATGGCTTTTATCAGATTGAGAAAAAGACTCTTCCAATTTTCTGTAGGGATTTTATCAGATTGGTGTTCAACTTTGTCAAATGCTTTTTCTGTTATCATGTGATTTTTTTTATCTTTGGCTCTGTTGATACAGTGTATTACATGTATTGATTTGCATAGGAAGAACCAATGCAGTGAGTATGTCATATTTCCAAAATTGTTATACAAATTTAATGCAATCCCGATCAAAATACCATTAGCATGCCTCTCAGAACTACAGTAAACCATCCTAAAATTCATTTGGAAGCAGAACAGACCTAGAATAGCAAAAACAATTCCAGGCAACAGAGGCAAGGCAGGGGGCATCAAAATCTCTGACTTGAAATTATACTACAGAAGTACTGTGATTGAAAATAAAACCTGAGGATAATGAAACATTAGAAGATGCAGAAACAAATCCAAACACACTCAGCTACTTTATCTTTGACAAAGGCACCAAACACATTAATTGAAAGAAAGCTTCTTTAATAAATGGCATTGGAAAAAATAGCTGTCCACATGCCAAAGACTAAAACCAGACCTGTATCTCTATGAACTAAACTAAAATCAAAATAGATCAAAGATCTAACTATTAAAACAGAAACAATCTGCTGGAAGAGAAAATAGGTAGAACACTTGAAGACACAGGTATAGGCACAGACTTCATGAACAAATTCCTGACTGCATGGGAAAAACTACAAAAAATCAGCAACTGGGATCTCATCTTATTAAAAAAGCTTTTGCACAGCAAAGAAACCACCAACAGAGTAAAAATACAAACCACAGAGAGGGAAAAAATGTTTGCCAGCTGTTCTGCAGACAAATGACTACTATTCAGAACATATAAAGAACTCAAAAAAATCAGAGCTCCCAAATTTAAACACCCAGTCCAAATATGGGCATCTGAGATGAATATATACTTCTCAAATGAAGACATATGAATAGCAAACAACTATATGGGAAAAAATGTTCAACATCCCTAGTCACTGAGATTGCATCTCAGTCCAGAAAGAATGCTGTTATCAAGAAATCAGCCAGTAACAAAAGTTGTAGGGCTCTCACTGCTGGTAGGAATGTAAACTGGTACAACCACTGTAGAAAATCAGTGTGGGGATTCCTCAAAAAAACTAGAACTAGAGGTCCCATTTGACTCATCTATTGCCCTTCTTGGTATCTTCCTGAAAGAATTAAGTGCATCAACACCCACGTTTACAGGAGCACAGTTTGAAATAGCTAGATCTTGGAAATACCCCAAATGCCCATCACCTGATGAATGAGTAAAACAGATGTGGTTTCTTTATACAATGCAGTACTACTCAGCCATAAAGATGAAGAAAATATGACATTGCTAGCTATATGGATGCACCTTGAGACCATACTCTTAAATGAAACAAATTGGACAAATGTTTAAATATCACATTGTCTCTCTGATGTGAGAAACTAAAAGCCTAAATAAGAACCAAAGTATATGACAGAGATTGTTAAATAGGAAGAAATTCTTCTAAAGAAAAGGGAAACTAGGAAGAGGGGAGAGGGAAGAAGAAAGTGAAAAGAAAAAATGAGAAAAAGAGGATAAAATGGAAACAAAGCTTTGTAAATAAGTAGGGGGAAGAGGTTGAAGAGCAGAGGGGAATGGGAAAAAAGATGAATCAGGATATATCATGTACAGATACACATTCCCTATGGTGAGTGTAATCATTCTGTACATCTAAATGGTACCAATAAACTTAATGATAACTTTAAAAAAAGAGACAAGGAAAAGGAACAAAATAAAACAAACAGGACTGCTAGCCACTAACTTATTACATGAACATGTTTTTATTAAAATAGCTATCAGAGAGAAAGAATGGTTTACTTTGGTGGTCTGACTGTTTGTGCTTATTCACAGGAAAGCATTTATCACACAAACTATGTTTTCAGACCTGGATACAGTCTGGCAGGGATGGATACACGCTCCTCCTCCACTGGTCACTACAGGGATTTTAGGAGCCATTGCAGGCTACATTTAGACACCAGGAGGTATTTGAGCTGACTACAAAACTCAAGATTTTGTAAGTATATATGTAAGTGAGAATGAGTCAAATGCTAAGATACAGTATCATTTATTATCTTCGTGGATAAGCCTTTAAAACTATAAATAATATGATAGCTCTTCACATTATAAGAGATGATCTAAGTTCATATTTTAGTGTTACATGATTTCATAACAAAAAAATTTTTTGTGTCAAGAGCTTTCAGTCACTAATATCACATGACAGTGTCTACTCCACACAAATATATATTGTCAGCATTTTAGAAAAAGATCAAATAGTGAGAATCAAAAACATGATCTCTACTGCTTTGTAACCATAATTAAGTTCATAGATTCATACTGACTGAGGATAAACATAAGCTAATTAAGAAGAGGGAAAAAAAGCTCTTATTTTTGATCCAGAGGTAGAATACATTACCTTGAGACGACTGAAAACAGACAAACAAAAAAATGAAAGGTCTTGTTTGAAGCCATGGGTATTAACACACTGTCACCAGTTCCAATTAACACTGATCAGAAATACAAACACCGCTGAACTAAGCCTTTGCCCAAAATAGTACCTTTTCTTTTTACTGTGTTAAATATGATTGCTGATTCCAGGAGATAAAGCACATTCTTACAGTTTTTATTTAGATTATTAACATTAACAGTAATTGATTCAGACATTTTTATCCTTAAAAATAAGCATCAATTTAGCCTAATTTATATAAATGTTTGGCTTAGAGAAATCTAGTGTATATGTATGTGTGTGTGTGTGTACATATATATTAATATGAAAATTAGTATTGAGTCAACTTACTCTGCAGAAGATCCTTTCAGAAGCACAAACAGGAACTGCAATGCAGTTGTTCAAAATAGGGGTACCCACCATGGGGAAAGAGTTGGTACCCATCAACAGGCACCAGTGTACCAGACAGTTTGCATTATGTAAGGATTATATAAACTCAAGATGTAAATTACTGCAGATTCTTTAGCTTCATTCAAGTTTTATTTAATTTCCAAATGAAAATATATGTCCTTAAATGCAACTGTGCTTGTTCAGGTTTTTGGACCACAATGTCACTTTTAATAGTGTACTCAAGTGGTTGCAGTTTGCAAACACACCTTGACACGATGCTTGGTGTGTTATTACTAAGGTCACTGTACTCACTGTAAAGGGCTTTGCAGCACCCTGGTCATCTCTGCTTGAAATAATCTTTGCATTTTTTCTTGTCTCTCTCAAACGCTCTATAGATGGAGGCTTTATAAATATCACATAGGGCTTAAATTCGAGTGTCCTTAAATGCTTCACAGTCTGTAAGGAAGAAAAGAAATTTCCTTACTTTTTAAAACCTGGTGAATTATTAAATTTTCTTTCTGAGGAGAAAATTCACTAAGGTCAGCAGGTCATTTGATATATTACTGTTCAATCAGTGTTTGACAAGTAAAGGCAACAAATATCCTTAAAAAGAAGCTGGAGACTGCATCTGGCATTTTAAAATGATTTGAAAACACCATCATTAATACTGAATGCACATGGATACAAATACCATGGAACTGACTTTAGATCAAATACCTAAAGAACGTGATGAAGTAAACAATCTCCTCATTCCACAGGGGTCCTTTCCCTTCCGCCTGCCCCTCCGCAGCCCTAATGGGATGCCCTGTTCTCAGCCCCACAGTTATGTCCTGTGTTCTGGAGGTAGAGGCAGATTCAATTCTGCCTCTGGGGACTCATTCCTGGTCAAGGTGACCACAAAGGATGAGAGCTGAGAGCGAGGGAGGTGGGAACTCAGCCCAGGACCTGAGCAGGGCCACCCCATTCAAGGCTGGCTCCAGAGTCGCCCTCCTGAAGAGGGGCACGGGCTCCCACAGATCTTTGTGGTTCCTGGAGTTTGTGCCATCTGAGCTTCCACTACCAGTGGAGGGAGACTCTGTGGCCATGGAGGGCCAAGATGATGCTGTGTGCTGGACACTATCTAGACAGTCAGCGGTATGACAAGGAACCCTCAAGCCAGGATGCTCACAGGAGTTCCCAGGGCAATGGCAAATCCACATGGCAGCTGTCACTGGGCTCTCATTTGGCTCAAGTCCTGGCCTGTGCCCCACATCCCTATAGGGCTTTTTACTTCTAGGATACATTTGGATATTAGGATATGTTGTCAGTCAAAGACGACTGACAATCAAAATGTCCTCTGGTAAAAATGATAATCACTTAATACATAACATGTAAAATATATTACATACACAATAACACACGTATAAATGTAGACTTTGTATACAAGAAGATAGTTTTTAAAATTATGGAATATGTAGAAACACCTAGGGGTCACTGTACTTAACTGAGGAGTTACATAAATCTTGGGGCTTTTTCCACTCTGCTTTTCTAATAATATAGGGTTTCTTTTTTTCCACCAAAGATGTCTCAAATTACACTGACATGAACAAACTTTAAATTCTCTATCTCAAGCCAAAATGCTCAACGGGAGTGCAGTAGATTACACAGGTCACAAGGTTACTGCACAGTAGGCCGTTTACTTACATGAGGCTGAACATCTAACAAGCAAACTTTGTTTTTAGCCAGGACAGATCGAACTGAATCTATACTCGTGCCATAGTAGTTGTTTTTATATTCACCATATTCGATGAACCTGTAGTGAATTAGAGAAGCATCAGAATCATCTGAGAATTAAAAAACATAGGTGGCAGGAAATAATTCATAGGTAAAAGATACTTGTGCTGAGCATGTGACTTTTATAGCTGTGTTTAATAAATAGGACAAGCACTTCAGCACATCGTTTTAAAAATTCTTCTATCTTCCATGTTCAAATCAGTAACACCTGCTTGTATTACACTTAAGAAGAAGGAAAAAAGTAGCCCAGTGGAACTGTAATGGTTTCCATCACCCGCTTTCTCAGAAGTAGTGCAATGCAATAAAACAGTGAATAAGGCAAACAATAGAAACTACTGAAATTTCACGACACACTACAGAGTAACCACACTCGGCTTCAGAATGCCAGGAGCTGGGTGGTGGCTGATGGAACCAGCACAGCTGATTATGTGCTATAAAAACACCATCACTGCACCAAACATAATGAAAGCATTTCGATGTTTCAATAAAATCCCACAATCCTGCATTAAAACACGCATTGCTTCTGATACCCTAAAATAGCCATGCTTAAGCACATGGCAAACTGGAGGGAAAAATGTAGAGCTAGCTAGGGAAGGGGATGTGCACAGGATAAGAACTTCATCCAGGGTTGAAGCAGCCATGTGAGAATGAGGGTGTGTGTGTGTGTGTGTGTGTGTGTGTGTGTGTGAGAGAGAGAGAGAGAGAGAGAGAGAGAGAGAGAGAGAGAGAGAGATCCAGCAATATATTATACTGCCCCCTACCTTTTAAAATAAAATTCTAGCCAACCTAAATGTTAAGATTAAGTTAGTGGGAAGGACAGAAGTCATGGCAAAGCGATAGCCAGCACAGGTTGCAAAAGATTTGCTAAACCAGCAATGGCAAACTTTGTTAGACCTTTCCGGGCCCTAAGTGCCACCACTACTGTGAACACCTCATGTAACAGAAATGCAGTAATCTGTGGCTTATTTACAAATCAAGGTAAAGACTGGTAACAATTACTGCGTTTATCACTTTTATACATTTCAAATATGACAAAACACTTTTTAAAGGGAGAAGAACCCTGCGTTGTCTAAAACCGAATGTACAAACACATGCTTAGAAACCAACAGTCACGTGAAACATCTACAACATTTCCACCACGTACTTGTTATTTTGCACATCTGTCTCAAACAAGTGCTTGGAAATGAAAATATACTCAACACCATCACTCTCCTGGCTTCTTCTTGCTCTCGTGGTATCTGTGATTTAATAAAAAAGAATTCAGAGAAACCCACATTAGCCCCCTGAAAGAAAATATTATAAAAAGAACTCATCAAGTATATCTGAATCGGTTTTCTTTTAATGGATTTAAAACCTTGAGAATAGGTAAATTAGCTAATAAAATATGTTAAACTGTTATGAGCACAGATTTTCCACTGTTATTAAAATTGGAAGGCAGATTTAAATTCAATTGTATTGTCTGAAGCCTCTTTATTATAATTAAATACAAGTGGCATTGTAAATCCTTCAGGAAGAACTGCTTCTTTTGCAGTTATGCTTATTATCTTACTTACTGATCTTTATTCTTTCAAGCAATCTTTTGACCACTAGGTTGCAAAGTTAGCTGAAATTATTTTGCTGTCTTCCTTGTATGATACATGGTAGTCTATGTTTGGTGCTCCAAAATGCAGTTATTAAATGCATTTTAACTTTATGAAGTTATAAACAGCATCTAATTAGAACATAATTTAATTTCCATACTTTCAGGAGTTTTACCTCATTAATTAGTGAAGAGGGCTGTGAATACAGGGTTATTTGACAATAAAAATAACAGTAACAATGTAACTGAAAGAGTAAAATGGATCTTTAAAATTAGATTTTTTTTATTCTAGGGATAAGCCACTTCTCCAAACTTCTAATGCTCTAGTCCTCATCTGTCAGCCCAGTGAATGGACAGAAGAGAACAAACTAGCTCTCTGACTGAAAGGCTGTGCAGGGCTCCTGGACATCAGATCCTCTTCAGGTGTGCCCAGTGGGGAAGGAGCAGAGAACGTGGGTGGAAATTTCCCTTGTCCACTGCCTTCCTGTATTCCTGTCCTCTTGCTTGCAATAAAAACTTGCAAACCTAAATAGAGGGCACTGGATTAGAGACAAAGGCCTCTTTGTCTCCTTTGGAGCTAGCTTTGAATAAACTGTTTCCCCACCAAGGACTGTCACCCATGTTCGTGGGTAGCAGCGAGGAGGGGGAGGGTATGACATCACCCAAGAAGTTTCAGTACTGAGTCTGTCCAGTGGGAAACACACCTCGGCCCACTGGTCTAGTGACTAGTGGAATCCAAATCACCCATCTAAGCACTCTGAAATAAGTCAAACAGGCAGATTGTGAAAGGAGAGTCAGATAGGGAAAGGATTTAACTTCATCTTCCTGTTAGCTCCGCTGCTAGGGCAGGGACCATCACAGGCACCATGCATGATGGAACACACTGCCACCCTCCAACAGAAGCCCAGACTTTTTGGTGAAGAAAATCAGGAATGAAAAAAGCTCCTGTGTGTTGAAGTGTGTGGTGGATCTAGGAAAGAGAAACGCTTAAATTCTGTGCACAAACCAACATTAGTCTAAGAACAATAACACCTGCCCTTATATTAATAGTTCAGATTCAAACTTGCATAGCAAAGATTTTAAGTTCTAGACTTGGAAGAGAACTGAGATTAGAATACACAAGTATTAGCTGGGCACAGTGTGCACACCTGAAATCCCAGTGACCCAGAACACTGAGGCAGGAGACTGCAAGTTCCAGGCCAGCCTGAGCAGTTTAGGGAGAACACACATCCAAATTAAAAAACAAAAAAGATGCTTGAACTGAATGGAAACATGAGTTTTTAACAGAAAAACAGACACTATAAAAAACAAAGTGGAAAATTTAGAACTGAATAAAACAGTATCTCACAGAAATAAATCACTACACGGGGTTAGTAGCCAAATGCAGATGAAAGAAAAGAATCAGTGAACTTGAAGACAGATCAATAAAAAAAATTACATGATCTGGAAAACAAAGAGGAGAAAGATTGAAAATAACAATAAAACTCCAGAGATCTGGGTGCAAATACAGAAATATCCACCGTATGTGTAACTGGGAGACATGTGACATGGAAGGGAAAAAAGGAATTGGTTAAAAATTATATATTTAAAGAAATAATAATCTTCATACTGCTAAATTTGGTGAAAGAAGTAAAGCTTCAGATTTTTAAAAGCACAGAAAATCTCAACAAGTTAACTTCATTAAAAACATGATTCTAGTGAAATAATAAAAGCCAAAGATGCATAAAAATTTTAGCAACATATAAGAAACACAGTACATTTAAGGGGATGTTTCACATGACCACAGATTTCTTATCATAGATCATAAAAACAAGACATTAATATACTGAACGTACGGAAGGAAGAGATCTATTAACCAAAATATCTACCAGGAAGAGAGACAAGATAAAACTAATAAAAACAGATGAGGAAAAACTAATAGAATCTTCAGTAGATTGTTCTAAAAGAAATATTTGAGGACACATACCAAAACAAAACCCATTTTGTATAACTAAACTACACTAATGAACAGTAATATAAAAATACAAAATACTGTTTAAAAAGGAATATTCAAGGGAGTATTTTAGGATGAAGAGAAATGATGTTAAAAACTTGTATCTTCAGAAATGAAAGAATAAGTAGTTGAGTAAATTATGCTTTTTTCCACTTAAATTCATCAAAATAATTATGTTTAAAGTAAATGTTACACTGTCTGGTAATACTGGATATAATTGCCAGTAAATGAAAATATATTCAATAACTGCAAAAAAATATTGAGGCAGAGATAATAATCTTGTTTGCAATATTTCTGTATTTTACGTGACACAACACAAAGGAAACTCCAAAAAGACTATAAAAGGTTAGATATGCAACTTTAATCCATAATATAACCACTACAAAATTAATGTAAACCAGAGTTGAGAAGTAGATTGAACTGAAATACTAAAAAAAGTTCAGAAAATCCAATATAGGCAGAAAAAAAGAAAAAGGAAATACAGAAAGGACAAACAGAAGATAAAAAATGTTTAAATTAATTTTCATAATTCAATGTACGCTTATACAGCCTATGTAGTCCCAATTAAAAGGCAGAGATTTACAGAATGAGTAAAAGAGCAAGACCTTACCTGGTACATGTCTGCCTGAGAGTCTATAATATAGTTTATAATTCAGTAAATACATAGAGAATATACCATATAAACAGCAACCCTAAGAAGACTGCGTAATGGTAAGCTCCCTTTGAAAACAGTCTGGTAGTTTCTTTAAAATCTTAAATCTATAATCTTGACTGTTCTCCTATGTATTTGCCAAAGAAAACAAGAAAAAAATGTCCATCAAAAGTTTTGTACTCAAACTACACCATAGTCTGTTTATTTGTAGCAACCAAAATTACCTTCATGAGAAACCACAGAAAATAATTAATAGCTACGGTTGACCAAGGGCTCCCAAAGTTCAGACTACACAGATTTTGGAATTCATTTGATATCAACTATAATACTTTTCGTTAACTACTTTGCAACCACTTATGTCCAAGGATTAGCAGCCCTTTAAATACTGTGATGTCTACATGATGACTCTTTGCAATAGGGACTGTGTACACGACAGCGATTTCGTAAGAGCATGTTGTCTAGTGATGTTGGAGCCAATTTAGCTTCTGTAGGCTCAAATGATGACACCGCCTAAAAACATATTTTGCAGGATGTAGCCTGTTGTTTAATGATGTTTGAGCTTTTCTTTAAAAAAAATTCAAGTGAAATAATTATAGATTCAAAAATAGTTACAAGAGAGCACAGAGGGCCTCTGTGCATCACAGCTCAGCTTCCTGTTAAGATTTATTTAGCTATCAGTGTTACTGAAATCAGGAAATCAACATCAGCAAATTATAGTTAACTAAACTGTTAAGTATTTTACTTGAACATTCAAAAACCTGAGTAAGATAAACAGAAAAATTCACACGCAAGTCACGTGAACACATTTAGGTGTAGCTTGACAAATTTTTGCAAATCAAACCCGCCCGGGAAGCCAACACTCTTAGCAAGAAGTTTTCTGCCAACCTTTGGATCATGGCTTGGGTTCCCTTTCCAGACCACCTCCTCCAAATTTCTCACAGTACATAGTACTGTTGATGTTCTGTAATTTAAAAATACTCATAATACACATTTATAATACTTGACTGTGCGAATATAGCACAATACATCATAATTTGCTCATCCATTCTTCTGCTGACAGCACTAGAGTATTTATAATTTTGAGCTCCTGGGCATAATGCTTTAAAGAATACCCAAATACATGGCTTTTGGTGAATGTAAACACGCATTTGTGTTGGGTTTATAACTGGGAATGAAATTGCTGGGTCATAGAGTGTGTATTTATGCAGCTTTAGTAGATATACTTACTGAGTTTTCCAAACTGTTTATTTATACTCTCATTAGTAATGTACAAGAGTTCCATGGGTCCACATCTGTTTCATTCTACCTACCACAGTGGATATTTTATGTTTTAGAAGAGAGAATTATAGACTAAAGTATAAAACAGAATAGCAGCATAATCCAAGTAGACATTTTTATCCACAATTTCAGAGTATGTCCAAGGTATTTTACAAAGAAAAAAAACCTGGAAATTCCAGAATTGCTCTTAAGATGTATTCTTCTTGAATTAATCAAATTATCCTTAGTTGATGCTATGGCTATGTTTTCTAAATGTGCCAAATACTGTGAATTCTCTTAGATACTTGCTATAGATACAGAGTCTGGGGAATCTTTCCTAAAAACCCAAGGGAGTTCTTATTATCAGGCAAGCCTAGGAAATACTGCTGTATCAGAATTGTTAATGTATATAAGTAACTATTCTCAGGATTTGTTCACAGAGTTCAAGCCTTTCCAGATATTGTCAACTTTTCTAGTAATTTTGGAGGTATTACCAGACTGGTTGGTAAGCTGAGATCAAAACATTTTGTTCTAGGACCCTCATTAATACCAAAACCATCATAGGAGGTAAGGCTACATTTGATAGATAATCTTACTAATATTCATCATCTTCAAAGGTCAGTTTTACTGTTCACTAGATTCTATAAAGAATCTGTAATTGAAAAGATTCCTAGTGTCACACAAAAGAAAGCATCCAAAAAGTGGAGTCACAAAACTTGATTTCAAATTCAAGTGCAACTACCATCTCTGGAACCCTGTGAAAAGCATAATACCCTTTTTACCTGTTTCCTTCTCTACAAAATAGAGAAAGTATCACCTATCTTTACACTGTTGACCATGCCACATAAATTAAGATGAACAAAGGAAATCAATATGTAATAGGAAATTAACAAATTATCTTTCCTTTTGTAATCTTCCTTTGCAGAAATTTCCAGGTTTCTAGGTAACCACTAACCAGTTAAGAGTAACTTTAATTTGTACTGATTACCTGTATATAGAAATTCAACTTTTGTTTGAAAAAAAAACTAAATTAAAGAAAAAAAAAGAAAGAAACTGTAATTCCACGTTTTCCAGAACCAGTAGTTCTGTAACTTATGGCCGAAAATGATTATAAAAAATAATTTGGGAAAATGTAGTAACAAGAAGGAATTTGAGGTAATAGAAAACCGTAATTTTAAAATGAAGTTGATCTCTTCCAAAACTGAAGAACATTGCTAACGGCAATATACAAATGATTTTTTAAAAAAACAATACTAAAACCACTTGAAAATGCCAACATTTCAATTTAGCGTTTGAGACAGCTTTCTAACATCAACATATTAAGCAGTCAAATGGCATTTATTCTGGAGATCACAATGTTTCCAGCATCGTATTTCATTTGTAAAAACGCCTATGAAAACCGCTTACATAAAAATAGATCTAATTCTGTGAACTGAAAAGAAGTCCACGTGTTTGGGCTACATGGCCGTGAAAAGCCATTTAACATAACCTGTCAATTATTACATGCAAAAGGTAGTTAAGAAAGGTTCCTGTTATTCCAAGCCTTCTTTAAACTGTCTGTGGTTTGATCCTTCTACTTGTAAAACTGATGAAAAACTGGAAAACATTAGCATGTATTTTACAAAATAGCATAGTGAGACTTTCACTCCTAAGGAAATTTGTAAATGGTGAGTTGATGTCATCCATGTATCAAAACCCATCTTAAAAACCTAACCTCTGCAGTTAACAGAGATCCCTAAGGGCAAATCCCTTAAACTAGAGTACCACAGCAGGCACTTCATGGGGTAACCTGGAAGGAGAGTGCTTAAGGCACTGTCTGGCACTGAATGGGCTCAGTAGGAACCGAGTGGAGGAATCAGAGCAGTACTGAATGGGTTAAAACTCACGGGGCACTGTCACACCGTAATGCTGTGTGTCACTGATCAGCAGCTTCCGCTTCAGTTCATTCAGCCCAACTCCAACAGGACCTGGAAAATGGGAGAGCATAAGTTCCTTACCAAACAAAACATATTCCACACTGCTGCAAATGACATGAATCCCTAAAAACAGACTGAGGACAGGGATCCGATCTCACATGCCACGCCAAAGAGGTGATACCTACTCAATTTGTAGATAAAAACAACAATAGCAACAGCTGGAATTTCTTTTGCTGCTTACTTTTTGAGACAAGGTGTTAACTGTGTAGTTCAGGATGACCTTGAACTCACTATGTAGCCCCGGCTGGCCTCAAACTCACAGCAATCCTCCTGCCTCAGCCGCTCAAATGCTGGGATTACAGGCATGCGCCACCACGCTTGGCTTCTTTTGTTGCTTTTTAACTTTTAAAATTTAAATCCCTTGACAATCTTAGAAATGTTTTAAACATAATCATATCTGGATATATTAACAAGTAATGAGTCTAAAAATCATGTGCAAAGAATTATAGCCTAGAAAATAATTTCAATTTTAAAGTTTTACATCTTAGTGAAAGAAAGTCTTTGACTATTTTTGATGCAAATTCAAATTATGCATATTTAATTTGCAAAACCACATTTACCTTTGTTGAGACCTTCTACACTATACTACTACCCTGCATTTTCCACACTGTGTTACTGCACTTTATTTTCAGGTGCTCCTTAAGCATTTGAAAACATGCACAGACCTTAAACATTTAAATCGATCACTGCATAAATACTGATCACCTAAATGAGCAAGGCATATGGTAAATGTTATGGTAATAAAAGATGACAAATGAAATCTGTTTTCAAAGAAAGTAACTGGTTGATTAAGATACTGGGCCCAAACGGACAAGGAATGGTTTCAAACCCAAGGCTGAAGCCAGAAGTTAGAAGGGCTCAAGTCCCAAATAGTCCTCATCCCTTTTCCATCTTAAAGCATCTCTCAACTCTGCCATCAGGGTCTGTGTAAGGACAGGATGGTGCAATGAGTGGAACGCAGGCTACAGGCCCCGCTGTCCTGAGCTTCCCTGTGCTGCTCCTGCCCCGGGGACACTGGTCAGGGGGAAGTCCCAGAGCCCGATCCGATGCCACTCTCATTCTAACTGTGGCAATGCTCTCTCTTGGTTGGAAGGAACAAGATAGGCACCAAGCCTAGCACAGAGCTCAGGTACTGGACTGTGCATTCCCTTGCTTATGGTCTCTTCTTACTGCCCGGGGGGTCAGAGCAATCTTTAAAAAGAATAAGGTTTAATGTCAGGCATGATCAAGGTGGGTGGAGAGCAGGGCAGGCATTCTGGGTGGAAGGAGATCTGAACAAAGACGAAGAGGCAGACATTTGGGACTGTGATTTTCTCCGTTACTGCCACTTCTATGTTTCCTGCCTCTGTATACAAACACCTGTTACCCTGTGTTCTTTCACTACTGTTAGATTCCAATTCTCCAGCAACTTGCCCTTGTTCTCGAAGATAATGGCTCTCAACGTTTCTTTATAATACATACTTGATAATATCTTGAAGTGGAACTCACAGCCCATAAAACTTACTGACACATACTGTTGCCCTCTTCAAAGTAATGTATTCCCTTAACAATAATATATGAAAGGCAGAACATAGTTTGGAATGAAACAATCTGTATTTCAACATGGAAATGTACAGCATTATTAGAGCAGAAAAATATCGCAAAGGCAGATGTTTTAACAAATAAGTATGAATTTAAAAGATCATAAGCCATTCTGTGCAAGAAAGTATGGGAAAATGAAAGAACAGAGGAACAGGTAATTATAGAACTTCATCTGGTATGTGGAAGCACAGATAACTGGGAAGTAGAGGAGTGACCAGAAGGATTAGGAAGGGGACCAGGGAAGGGAGGAAAGAGCAGGAAATGCAGACATGATCAATGCACAGCAAATGCATGTACAGAAATATCACAGGGAAAGCACTAACCTGTGCAATTAATATATTAATGATTACAAGGAAAAACCATATAAAAATAAAACCCGTGACACGGGACAGTGCTTCAGCGTTGCAGAAAGCTTTCCCATCTTGAAGCCCCATCGCATGTGACGTTGGCTTTTCAGTTCCTGAAGGTCTAGCCCAACATTTGGGGTGGGGGAGAGAGTAGAAGGGGTTGGGAGGGAGGAAGAATCCTCGTGAATAGTTCAAATGCTCCCCTGTGGGCAGTGCCACCCTGGTGAAAAACAGGGCTCAAAGATTAGCACCTGTTCCTGTCTTTCCCTCACCTCAATTGCTGCCATTACCGTGGGGAGCCCATGAGGGGCTCCCTTCAAAACACTAGCCTCCTCCCACCAGGACATCTCAGCCTTTCTGTACCGTGTACAAAATCAAATACTCGTTCTGTGACAGGGTCATATGGGCTGCATTTTATGACCCACACTTGGGGGAGCTCTCACCTCCTCACTTGGTGCTGTTTAAGAGTCTTCCACTCCCTGCAATGCGACAGGCTCTCCTTCGGGTCATACCCTCACTGTACAAGGCTTGCATTTCCAAAAACCCTCCTGCCTTCTCTTCAGTATTAAAGTCAAGAAGAACTGTCAAATTTCTGTAGTGTGAATGGCAGATCTTATCCCACCCCAGGGAAAAGTTTATAGATAGCTGGGCAGTGTTATAGCAGGAAGGATTGAACTTATGTCTGTACTTCAAATCTTAAGTATTTCTCACTTGTTTAGGATTCAGTTTAGAGCCACCTTAATGGAATTTTCCCTGTTATCAAGTCTGATCTTATTTATCACCTATTTCACGGCTGGTAAATTATACATCTTCATTAGGTAACTGATTTGGTCATTTTTTTTTCCCGCCCTGGGATAAAATCCAAGGTGTGTCACATAGTAGTAGCCAGGCACCCTACCAGAGGGCTACATACTGGCAGATAGCTTATCTAAATTACATGATAATTATGTCATCATGGAAGTAAAGCTCTTTGTTGAATAAAACATAGGAATGGGAGATAAAAACATCTGTACATAAACACCTTTAGGGGACAGTTAGGTACTGTGTTTATCAAGGGAAAGAGAGAAGCTGGTGGAGCTCACACTTGAGTTTGGCTCTGTCTTAAGGTAGGGAAAAGCAGGGGGCATGATGATGAATTTCCTCTAGATAGCATGCATTTAAGAAAAGGAAAGCCGCTCCCCACACTCAGACAAGGATTGTAAGGCTTCCTTGTGAATGTACTCTCATCAAGGGAAAACCCAAGATAGTAGGATCAGATGAGATCCCCCAAGCAGAAGAGAAAAAAGACAAGCACTGAGTGCCAACAATACGCTAGGCACCTCATCAAGGCTTATGTATTTTATCTAGTTTAAAGATATAAATGGTCTGGTGGGTTCTAAAACATAATTGCTAAAATAAATAAGAAATAAACGAGAAATATAAATGACACTACAATTGAATTAGCCTCTATGTACTGATGCAGCAGATCCAGCTATATATGCTCAAAACAAGTAAATAAAATACTTAAACATAAATAGAGGCTCCTGCCCTGTCACCTCCCATCTGCCCAGGAGACACAGGACTCAAGGAAGTACATAAATTAAACATTTCTTTAGTAGATCTCAGCTCTGGAAGGCACTTTGCTGAGTACCTAGCATTTTCTTATTTCATCTATTACCCAAGTCAAAAAAACTCCAGTAATTTATTTTAACTCTGGGGAAGAAACCAAGTGCATTCATTTAATAAGAAAAAGCTCACCATCTCTACTGTGATATTCTTCAATTCTGACCACATGCAGTTTGGACCTTGTGTCATATCTCTTACATTCCAAAGAAAGAGCTCACATGAAAACACATTCATGGGATCATGTGTTCATGTGCCAACAAGCTCAGTGGAAATAATCTTGTTTGGAAACTTTTCCCCAGATTTGGTAATTCTAAATCATTACCTTCAAAGATAGAAGGGTTCTTATAAAAAGATTTGAAGTACAGACATAAGTTCAATCCTTCCTGCTATAACACTGCCCGGCTATCTATAAACTTTTCCCTGGGGTGGGATAAGATCTGCCATTCACACTACAGAAATTTGACAGTTCTTCTTGACTTTAAAAGAATACAACTTAGGTCACATCTCTCTCCTGTATCCTCCTCCTATGGTCAGGCATACATTCTCAATATTTTTAGTTGGTATTTAGAATCCAAAATCTATTTATACTACAGGTGATTTAGGGATGTCAACTGAGGTTCAATCTTATGTTGACACAACAGGGTGGATTCATTTCATCCTTCAATACATTTTTACCCCAACAGGTGAAATACATTTGTATGTACTCAGAGAAGTAAATACTTTAAGGTACATTTTTCAGGGTGCTTGCAAATGATAAGCAGAAGCAGAGGACAGAATCCACATAGCACATGGTTAGGGTGCAGACAAGAGCTTTGGAATAACAAACAGGTGAGGTCTCTTCATGCAGCAGGCACTGCTACAAGGTTTACATACATCCTTACTAACTCTCAAAACACCCCTAAAATAAAAGTATCATTACCTTCATTTCACAGATGAGAACACTGAGACAATGAAAGGTCAGGTAATTTTCTGAAGGTCACACATCTGGAATGTGGCTTAGCTGGCATCCAAAATTCCGTCTGTCTGACTCAAAATGTCTGCATTTTTTCCACTCAGCATATGATTTTTCAGAAGAATGTCAATAAAACCGTGGTCTCAGGTACCAGGTGCTGCACTATTTATGGCATGGCCTGTAACTCTGCAGACACTTTTGTGCCTTTCCAAGTTGCCCACACTTCAAATAACTGCAACTACCTGTGCTTATGCAATTGGCAGAGACTGTGGCTATGGAAAAAGAGAGAAGTCAAATCTGTTGAGCTCAAAACTCATTCAGTGCAGAATCTCTGACAATGCTAAAATAAATTTAATTTAGATGATACACATCTATCAAGCCTGGGCAGTATACACTGGAGCCTGTCTGGTAAGATTGTTCATTCAGGACTAAGAAAAATCAAAAACAATGATAGGTCAATAAAAGCCAAACAAACAAAAAGAAAAGCACACTTAAAAATTGTTTGA